CGAAATCATAGATCTGAAGGACGATATAGAGCACTTATTGTGCTAAATGATCATGTACATAGTAATTTGTATTCGAGCACTTTCCAGAATCATCTCAGCGTGGTGGGGGCTTATTTCCATTCTGCTAGACGAACCGAAAACCCGGTAAGGTTTCGCCCAGCGTGAGACTCACTGATCAACAATCACCTGGCCGAATATGTCGTAGATTATGCCCACGCTACCTTTACCGTTACAATAGAGTCAGGAACGAATTTGTCATTTGTATGAGATTACGTCAGTAGTCTTTCAATCTCACAATTGGACTCACTGAGGAAATACCAACTTTTTATCACACCTCTATGTACTCTTGTTCGTTTTGCTGATGAAGAAAAATTCGTTGCTTATCGGGGATTTGTTCTCTTCTGCGGACTATCTCCAAATATGAAATATGATTTTACATCTGTCAAATAATTTCGATTGATGCAAATTAGCTTTATATTCTTAAAGAAACAGATAAATTTGACTTGTTTCTGTTTCTTCCCATCACCACCCCTCCTTACGGTTTACATAATACAAATTAGATATTCACTGTGCTTTCACAACAAAAATGATTGTGCGCTCTCCTGTCATGCACAACCGGATCCTGGTAATAGTTTTATCCTCAATTCACGTCGTCTGAAAAGATCATGTGTCATACGAGCAATGCTCTTATTAATACATTATCCTCTAATGTTCGATCGCTCCTCTCCCTGCTTTGTAACCCCTTTGTTCTATGTCTGTGCTCGTTTCGTTTACCATTTCAAGTATCTTCATTCTCTTGTCACAAATTTTATGCATCTTTATGGTGACCCGACTTCCCCCTATGTTTTAACCCCGCTATCCTCGACCAAACGGAGATTATATATTTCAGATTCAGACTATCAGTTACTACACGTTTCATTGACCTCGTCTATTCCGTTTGGTCTGTATCTTTTTTGGCGTGCAAGTCTCACATATGACCAATTCCCATTTTTCCCGTTGCTTAGCACCACTGCTATCTGATTACCTTTTACTTCAACTGCCACAACCAAAATATTGTTTGCTAACCTGATGCATATCCTGTTGGTTTGGGCTATGGTCTGTGTGTGTGCTTGTGTCTATACGTGCGCTTATACGTAAATCCAGCTGCTTTTCTGTGTGGCTACGAGGTGTGCAGGTTGATTTGTTGAATCCATTATTGCTGACCGCTTAACCTATTTGTGTTAGTTGACCAATTATCGTATCATGTTTCACGTTTATCATTTCCTGTCCATCTATTCTCTTTTTGTTTCATCATCGCTGTCGTGCAACGGTGATCCATTCATTCACCGAATTGGTCTTTTAAACAATCAGATTTGGGGAAAGCTACGGTGGTGGTCTCCTGGTCGCGGCGTTTGCTTGGCCTCATTTCTGGGTCATCCTAATCGGAACCTGCTTGTCCACCGTTGGCGCGGGTCTGCAGTCGCTCACAGGTCAGTGTTTCATTCTGAATCCATTTAGGTCTCCCTTAGCGTACTTTTGTCACTGAAAGTTTACTACCCAAAAATTCATGTTGAGCTCTGTTGAAATTCGGGTATTCAGTTTTCCTGCTTTTCAGTCGTTGATACGATGAGTTTCCACAAATCACAACTAACCTGGATGAGATTCTATGGATGTTCTCCTATTGACGAGCAAAGGTTTTATTACTTATTTATAGGTGTTGGATACGGTTTTCTAGTAAGAGCAAATTTTGACGAATAAATTTTAGGTTTTAATGAAAAGAAAGAATTTGCTTGATATGGAGTACTCCCATATATTGTTCACAACAGGTTGACGGTAGCTGATTGTTTAAAGTCCCTGTCAGTAGTAACAGGTTTAAACAACACTATGAATAAGTTGCTTTCAACCCTCCAACAGAAACATCATACCGAACAGCAACCATTCAGCATTCCTTCCGAAAGTCACTTTGATTATAAGTGGTTTTTCTAATTCTGCCGAAGCCTCCTGAAGGCTATTATAATACTGAGAAAATTGTGTGCAACAAGTTGGTTGATCCATCAGTGAAAGCGCAGTTTAGTTGAATGACCGCTCACAGATTCATTCAACTTATCTGTTCTGTTCTGCTCCTACAACCATTAACCATACACTTTCGTGCGCCGGTTTTGATTGCTGTCTTTTGGTTGCCCATTTAGTTTAAACAGCAGAATTAAGACTAGAATGTTGAGAGCAGATTCAAGCGGAAGAAAGTGAGTTTATATAGACTGACGTTATAATGACTTCATGAATAAATAAATATGAACGAAGTTTCAAACAATGCGTTCCTTCCGTTTCTATAGGGACAGTTCAACTAAATACCATAAATTGTTCATCGTCTCATTGGTGTTCCTTGATCCGTAACGTCAATCAACTTTCTTGTGATCCCTGTTTCGGAGCGTAGTCAAACAGGATGCATTTGAAAGAACTTCGCGTCATGTTAGTTCAACGGAACGAGGTTTATGGAGTACGCGCTTCGCTGAACCAAATACCCAGAACCCAATCGCTGACCTCTTCACCACTGACCAACAAATCACAAGGGTTGTCGCTATTCGTTATGACACTAATCAGTCAAGCTCTGTTTGCGTGGCACAGACCGACACTCCTGTTTTTCTCATCTTTTCTCCTACCATTTGCAGTGAAGTTCCACTCAAATGAAGTTCATTATGAAAATATTAGATTTGACGAAACTTTCGCATGCGTCGGTTCACACACACTTGTGACAAAAGCGCATCACCAGCCGATCTACCGTGACTTGCTGGTTCAGTCTTAGTGTTGGATGCTTTCGTTTTTCCTACTTTGACTATCAAATGCCTGGTTTCATTTTCCATGTGGCTTTTCATCTGAACACATAAGAGAAACGAATAGATAATTTATGAAGCTGTTTGTACGCTGTGCTGTGCAACGTAAAGACTATAAAAAGATAAATCAATGTGGCTGAGCGTTACAAGACGTGATCAGGC